GTTTACGTATTAAAGATTACTCAAATAAATATGACATCAATCATCTACGTTTCGCTTACTTATCAATCGTATGATCTTCAAACAAGAATAGTTATTAAATATATATATAAAAGTTGATATAAGTATAACTATAGGTATTTCTAGATGAGTAATAATAGCTTACTTTATCTGTTAAAAATATTCAGTCTCAAGCATATCCAACTATTTAAAACTATGAAATTGGTACTCTCATTAATTAATTAATTATTAATTATGAAAATGACTTACACCATTTTAGTATCCAATGACTCATTTAATTGTGAATTATTAATTATACAATACAAAAATAAAGTTAACATCACGAATACAATATATATTCTGTTATTTTTGAGGAATAATTTCTTATTTTGAAATTTATTTATTTATTTATTTGGTATTTTGTTGCCTCTACCCTGTAGGGTCATTGGCAACGCCTTTACATTACACTCTGTTGCAGAGTTTTATCACTTTCGTTAACGATTTCGTCAGGGTCAGTTATAATGTCTTGTCCAGTCTTTATACCAGGCAATTTCTTGGTTTTGGAGATCCCCTTAATGCTTTTCACTTTATTCCAGAGCTCCTTCATTGAAATGCTTTGATTTTGAAATTAATTAACTTTAATAATATCTACATACGTTTGTGTGTGTTTTCTAATTATTAAAATTTCAAATTCAGAATTTCCAGATTTTTTTTTATTAATGGCGAATTCCTTTTTCAAATTTAAGTTAGTTTTAAAATTATTTTTTTATTATTCTCTCCCCTTAACTATAGGGCATACATAGGGTATAGTTTATTTTCTACAACAATATGAATTATCATATTATTTTTTTTTTTTTGCTAAGTGTTCTTGCTTTACTTTCCCCTCGAAATTGTTATATAAATATGTTAACAATTTCTACAAATTATTTCTAACTATTTTCACTATATTTGAATATTTTGTTTTTCTTTTCTTATTGCTCTACGGTCATTATACATAAACATTAATTTTTAGAAATATAATATTTGTAGTGAATTCTATATTATGCCTGAGTCTGATAACGTATAGACAATAAAGTTTATTAATAGATGTAACTTCCGGAAAAGAAAAAAAAGTTTAATTGTTTCTGTGGCATTTTCGTTTATTAAATTTTTTTTTTAATTAAAAAGAATTCCGGACCTATCGTCGTAAATGTATGCCCATACACTTCATAAACCGAGACAAGCTGTTTAAAAATAATTTTTGAAGTGATGAAGTCGAAACTTCTTTAGGTGCGTTTTGCACTTTTTTTGTGGAGAATGAATTAGATTGAGTCGTCAGATCTCCGATGTGTAACGCTTGGGTGAGGAGTCGACTAATTGAAGTGCTTTTGCATATGAGTTAAAATATCTCTGAAACTAAAAATCGGACATGCATACTGTAGGCATGGGAAATGTTCACCATTTCATCTTCCTAGTTACAAGCCATTATTTTAATGCGATGCCGTGTTAGAGAGGGGAAAAGGAAAAAAAGAGGGGAAAAGGAAAAAAATATATTCGAAAACCAAATAATAACGAGTTTTATAGAAGATACGGATTAAAAAATCTCAGAAACTAAAGGGATGTTACAGCAACGTTTTCGTCAAAATCGGCTAACCGGAAGTGGCACTTTATACAATGGACTAAACACGTTTTTACGATTTTCTCGTAAGCAGCTCAAACGATTTTGATTAAATTCATCATATCAGTAAAAAATTAAGCAGTTTTAAATAAAATGTGGGTATTATTCTGATTGATGTTCTCTAACAGGGCTTAAATGGCTAGTTTTCAATATTAGCTTCCTCTAAATTACCTTTATTTTTTTTTATTTGAAACAATTGACCATTTCACATTAATCTTTTATATAAAAAATAGCTAAATATAAAATATGAAAGAATTTGATAATTTACTAAAGGAGAAATAAGAGATCGTATCGGAGAATAGTTGTAATTGAGGAACTAAAGGAATATACGAGTGCACCCGAACTCGCCAGAAAGATTAGAACACGCTTCCATACGTAACATGAGCTTAATATAATACGGACTTCGAAAATATTATATAAATATACATATGTGGTTTTCATAAATGCTATTGTTGGTATTATTTAATATTTAATTGTATAGATTACAGCGATATAAATATTAAAATTTGTATATACAAAGATACTTATATAAAATTTTTACTTTCACTTTGCTTTGACTAAAAATACTTATTTCTGTTAAGAAGAGGGTGGATAAGTGAAAGTTATGTGATGTGTGCACCGCACCAGATTTTTTTTTATTCTGGTTATGCCCATTGATTTTTTTATTTCCGACAGTTAATCCAATCCGTATTTTTAAGGTTTTGATTTAGGTAATCAAGGGTAAAGTGTTTAGAGTATTTCAATAACCAAATACATACTTTTTAATTTTTATTTAATCATAACATTATTTTAAAATTATGTAATGGATGAAGATTACTTGTAGTCCTTTATAAATGTATGATTATATTAATAATTTCAACTGAATCGTGTTAGTAATCGTACATTAAATCTTGGTATTGTTATCGTTCAATTTAATATATAAAATAAAATAAACATTGTTTTTTAACGATATATTTAAATAAGTATTATAATTTATGAGAAAATTGTTGATGAAACGAAAAAAAAGACGTTTATAAGAGGATCTCTTGGGCTTTGGCCAACGCAAAATTATTCTTGCCACCTAATTTATAATTAAAGGTGGGAATCTCTCAGGCTTTGTTAGGAAAGTTTTAAAAGGAAAAGTTAGAAGACTTATTAAAAAATACTTAGTCACTTTTTAAATTTAACCAGGAACAGGAAATTCTTTAACAAAGTTAATTCATGTTTACATTTTATGGTTTGAATTTCAGTATTAATTTACAAAAAAAAAAAAAGTTGCTTAAAAGTGGAAAGAGCACATCCGCTGTGAAGTTAGATAACGGTTGTGGATTCTAACGATTTTAACATTTAAGAGGATCAGTGACATTCAAAACTTATATATTTCGTGTTTTAATTCACGGTCGAATAGAAGAGAAATATTTGTATATATTATTAATACGTTAATAAGTTATTTTGTTTATTCCTAGGTTTGAAATCGATAATTAAAAAAATAAAAATAAAATCATACCAAAATTTTTAAAAATCATTTGATGATTTTTATCAAGAGCGATTTTTGTTTTTGATCATAAGTGATAAAAATCATATCCTGATGATTATTCTTGATCAAAATAATAATAATTTTTGAGTAATACTTTTTTAAATCAGAAATTTAAATTTTGTGTATAATCTCTATGATATATTTTGAGTCTGGATTAGTAGGTGGAAAATATTAGTATCAACCATTTCCATGCATCTTTATTTCTGTAATTCATTAGGAATTTCTACTAACAAAAATACTCACACACACACAAAAAGTGCAGGTACCACGTGTGCACAATTAAAGCGATTTCAGAAATATAATGACATCATTGGCAAGCATGACATCATTGGTATTTTAATAGGCCGAAGAAGAGTAAAAGACATTTGAATACGTTCGAAGTCATCCCCGTTTTCTTAGCTCGTATGGCCTGAACATATTGCCGGAATGTTGGGGCACCTTCAAAATAACATTCACACTAACTTGTAATTCTTAAACTATAATATTCAAAAAATTGTTCCAGTAACTTAGTAACAACAGAGTTTGCTATTAGGAGTGGTAGAGTGACCCAGTACATCAGAACAATCCTGATTACCATAATTCACTTCAATCCCGTTACCCTTCTTTGTTAACAGTTTATGAAAAAAACATGGGTACTTTTTTCGTTAACACTTTAATTTTAAATTAAAAATGTCCTTGTTATCTACCGCTTCCCATGATTATTCGAGTGAAATGTAAAAAATGTGGTTAAGACAACCATCTCTCATTATCTCGGTTTCTGTTTATGTATAAACTAAGAGAAACAGTCAAGCTTTATGTATACATTATGTAAACAGTTTCCTAAGTCCATAAATCAGATTTATTGTCCTCGCTCCCTATTTAGAACCATTATTCAATAATAATGTTTTATTTTTGATAAACCGATCAAACTGACTTTGGTTAAGATGGTATTAGAAAAGAAAACAGAATACAAAACTAAAATCCAAATCTAATTTTTAGGCGATTGCAATCCATTTAATGTTTAATACACCTGCAGATCAAATGGCGTTTGATACGGGTAATGTTTTGTAAGTTAAAAATAGTCTATTATTGTACCGCGTGATAGTTAAGATTATTTAATCATGTAATACTTTAGCAATATATTTAAGCAATTATAATCTAGAAATATAAGAGATGGAAACGATCGAGAAAATCATTTTTTTCTTTTTACCGTCGTAAAAATGTTTCTGCGTTTATTTTATTTTTTTTTAAGATGTTAGTTCTGAAGATCAGGAATGGATTATAAATACATTGTATAACTGTTTTAAATGAGAATGGTGCCCATTGTTATAATCGAATTAAGTATAACTTGAAGAATATGAAATTAGTTATGTGAAATCGGGGGAAAAGAAGCTCATAGTTTTGCAATATTAATTTTGGTTTGGACTCTTAACTTTGGAGATAATTTGACGTTTATTTATAGTTTATCATATTTTAAACTAATAATAAATAATTAAGTAACATTTCATAAGATTAATATATTGAATACTTTAATGAATTTACTCACTCCCTGTCCAATACAGAACATTGTGAACTTAGTGTAACTGTTTTTGGTATATAAAAGTATTTCGTATCTACAAATAAGGTCGAAAATCATAAAATTGCACTCTATCAAAAATGCATTTAATGACTTTTTGCAAACAGAATGTATGACAAGTTGATAATAAATTCACATAAATAGCGATATATATATATATATATATATATATATATATATTGTCTAAATCAGAAGTAAAATTTAAAGTTCTGAAAATATCTAAAAAATAGTTTTAAAGTAATGTACACACTAATTTATGATTAATAAATACATACACTATTTGCCCTTTTCATTCAGCTATCCTTTCATGGTGCTGATTCATTGATCAATTATAACAGTTTCATTCAAAGAGAAATGTTCGTATAAAATATATTACGTACTCTCAACAAATCAACGAGCAACACACCTCGTTCCTATCAAAGAGACTGACTGACTTCTAACCGCAATCAGTTGAAGGAGTAGGGGATCTAAAAATCGATTTATCGAACCAAGCTTATCCAAATCATTCCGCTGGATCGATTTCAACCCGTTTTAAAGATTTTAGTATTATGTATTTATTATTACATATTAGTATTTAAATTTAGTTCTTAAATTACATATTCTGATTGTGTGGTATTTTTGATTAATTTATTCTTTGAAATTAATTATTAAATTATTTATAGAAAATAAGAAATTGTTTGGAATGATTAAAAATTACATAAAAATCATTAATTTTTATTAATCCAAAATAATTTAAACGTAATGTGAAAATCAAAACGAAAACTATGGACATATTTATCGCGATATAAGGCCAACTAATGGACCACGCGTATATCATTTCTAGATTCTTGCCCATATCCTTTTCATTTTTTCTCCCATCTCCCTTTTTTTCTTGTGTTCATTTCTTACTTTCTTGCTTCTTCTTCTCAGCTACAAGAACATTTATGTTTTTAATTATTTTCTCATATTTATCCCTATCTTGGTACTCTTCTTCATTGGTCAAATTATCCAATTGTTCACCATAAAATATGCTAAAATATACAATATAAAATTTTACTAATAACACATGGGTGCACTCATTTGTAATGATATTTGATCACCAGTTTAAGAAGTGCAGGCAAACATAATATGCAATTTTATGAAAATTCATTGTCGCTGAGGAATTTATTTTATTAATTAATATTAATTTTTGAGTCATTTTTTTTTAGAGAGAGATTCCTTAATTTATGAATTTTAATGTTCCAGTAATCATAAAAAAAAATAATGAAATAGGTCTCGTCCTGGTTTGATATTTCGATTAAAATAATTTGTGAAAATTAGATTCACTTGGAAACTTTTTTATGGATATCAAATCTATGCTCATAAAATTTATTTTTTCAGTTAGATGAATTTTTTTCTCATGCTTCAACTTTTTTTTATCTTTTAATCATTTTATATGGCTAAAGTTTCGGGCAACCCTCTCCCCAGCTTCAGAACGTATACTTTGTAAATAAAAAGTTAAATGAGGTAAAAATTGGCATCCAATTTAAACGAAATTAAAAACTTTCCTGAAAATTGAAACAAACAAGTAGTTTTTTTCAGGTTTCGTATCATTAATCTCTTTGGAACAATTCTTATTCTCAAAACTACGTTATTAAAATTCTCAAGACCATTTTAAACAGAATCTGATATCTAAATATTTGAAGAAAAAAAAAAATCATACATTAAAATGTTTCCTAAAAAGTTTAGAACGATGCTCCTATATTATTGTGTTTTTCTGCAAAATGTATTGATGTTTGAAGTAATGAAAAATTTTTATCATATATTTTGTTTTCATTAAAAAATAATAAAAATTAGTTATATTACACGGGCAATACGTTTCCCGATTCTAAAAAAGTATACACATATGTCCAGGATAAACAAAAAAAATTCAAGTATCGTTACGGTGCATGGTATTAATAATGGCATGTTTATTCGTAGTAATAAATAGAATTGATAAGTATTTAGTACAGTTAAAAATTTTCAAAAAAATAAATATTAGAATAATTCTATTAGTTAGCATCTCTCAATGATTTTTCTTGTCCACGTCACGAATCGAAACTTCATCATTTTACTTATATCAACACGCGGATCTACGGGGGAAGGCTTTGGGGCTGAAGCCCCCTCCCAAAATGGTGAAATATAACCATGTTTTATGGAAAAAAATATTAAAAAATTATCTGTTAAAGTATAATTGTTCGTTTAAGTACATTTAAAAGGACTTTAGGAATCACTTAAACACCATTTCATATAGGTAGTTAGTTTCTTTTTTTTTCCAAAGTAATTATCGTTATTTTTATGGGGAAAAAAACTTTCGGGCTGAAGCCCCCCCCAAAATTAAATCCTGGATCCGCTAGTGCTTATATCATGTTCCATATCACACATGAGATATAATTTTGGAAAAACCACATATGTATGTTTTATAATCTCATCTAAATACAGTATATTTATATATACAGTATATCAGGTTGTAATAATAATAGTATATTATTACAACCTGCTGATAGATCCTTCCAGATATCTTTACCTGTCATGCTCATGACATCCAGATGCCCGGACAGATGTCCGTACGCAGTTAACCATGGTGTGGGAACAACATGACCTAGATGTTTTACCTCGGCAATGGTTCAATAAGAACAAACAATGTTTGGAATTGCATCACTGAGCACTTTGTATTATCCTAACCTACCTGATTCTTCACTATCTCATAAATTCCATTATATAATTGTCATATTTTTTTTTATCTCTATTGCGGATAAGAGGATTTTTAGATATAATATGAAATCGCTTCTTATTAGTCACATTCGTTGAAAGACAGAGATAATAAAATTAATTTGTCTGAGACGAATAACCTCTTCAATTTCTGAAGGGTTACTCAGTTCTTACTAAAGAGTTTTCATTTATTTGTTCACAATTAATTAAAGAACAACCGTTGGAGTATGAATTCGTTGCTTTGATTTTTTCTTTTGGCTTTACAGATCTTGTAGATCCTTGGCCACCTTCTCCTTGGGCTATTGTTTCCTATAATTTACATGCAGCTGTACAGCATCTTCGATTCGATCTATCCTTCTGATTTTTAGCCTTCGACTTGGTCTCTTGGCTTTCTACTATTAAGGCATTCATTTTTGTGTAGAGACTTCTTAATGGACTGCTACGAGCTACATGCCCCACCCATCTTAACATCCTTGCCTTCATATAATGGAATATTGATTGACCAGTTTCTGTAAGCAGTTCTTTATTGGTATTTCTTTAATAGTGCTCAGACCATTCTGGTATGGTGCGGAGAATTTTCCTCTTAAAGCTTTCAATAATTCTTTCTAGGTTAATTAATTAGTACTAATTGTTTAAAGTCCTTTAGAACTAATTTTAAAATAAAAATTCTATGATTTAGCCTTTCTTCAAATCTAATTATACGATTTCATTATTTACCAGAATCTGTAAACAAATTAATAGGTTATAAATAAACTAATATGAAAGATCTTTCGAGAACCCCATAAAAAATAAATTGCCTCATAATTCGTCCATTTATTCTTGGTATAATGGTATAATAGTTGTAGCATCGACAAACTGTAATCACCTTTTGATTACGACAGCAATCCTTCAGTGTTAATGAAACACTATTTCAGAACTGATACTGATGAATAGGAATCAGAAACCATCATGAGGATGTATTTTCACGATGAACCTATATTTGTAATTCCAAAAGCTATAGAGGGTCTTGGATTCAGTTCTTTGTTAGAAAGTACTGTTTCTTTGTTAACAGTTATGCAGGGAGTTGATTTGACCGATACTGCCAGATTTTTCCCTTAATAACTAATTATTTGATTAAGAGTACTCACTTTGTAGAGTCTGGGTATGCTCCAGGAGGATCTTCCATGAACCTTTACCCTCGGTTACCATTGGTTGATAACTTGTAGGACAATCTGACCATGTTGTCCTCCAACTAGGGAATGTCGCAATGGGAATTTTTTGTGGAGATAACTTTTATAGTTATCTGTGCTTAGATTCCTTTTGATACTTAAAAATTTGTTAGAATTTTTCCACTAAGCTTAATCCTCAGTCTGCCAATGTGCGAATCCGCCACCGGACACATACTTGGTGAACAAAAATTAGTAACAACACCTCTTTAAAAAAAGTTAATTATTGTGATTCCTTAGAAAGTGCGGTTTCGGCCATTATAATTAAAATCTAAAAGCAACACAAACTTTAAATTTGGAATAAGCTGTCTTGAGTATTATTTTTTCTGCACTACATGCTACCCTTTTGTTTTGTTTTTTGCCACAAAACCTTTATAAGCTTGGGGCATTTTCCCAATTTTTTTTTAATCTGTACAGGGGTATCTACTTTAATCCTGAATAATCATCCTATCATCTTTAGCTCTTCTGTTAAAAACCTTAAAATTATTATTAACCAAATGTTGTTCTGGAAAGCTCTTATCCTAGATTTCCTGACGGTCTTTAAATTTAAGGACCAATTCATAGTTTTCATTTTTTGTCTTTTTCTTTCTTATTATTTCTTCTCGGGATGATTTTCTTTTTTGTTTACATATTTCAACAATTTAGATGATATATAATGATTGAATTTTATTTATGTAGTGTTTGGCCACCAGTAATTTTTTCTGTTTATTTGTAGATATTTATTATTTTTAAAGGGCCTGATCCCAAAATAAAATTTGTTTTCTATTTTATTCTGAATGGATTTTGTAACATACGAATTAAAGGAAGATATTTTGTATGATGTATACATAATCAATTTGAGACAGTTATAGTTGGCTGTTAAAAGTATAATGATGAAAAATAGTCAGAATATGCAGTCATTTATTTTGTTTATTATGTTTGTCAACGTTTCAATCCAAGCATGTGAGTCGTCATCAGGGCTAAAAAAAAAAATTACATCAGGAAATTGAGATATAGATACACATATGTAAATAAGAGAAGATAAAAGTGGAAAGTCCATATGAGATAACTGTAATGTATGCGTAATAGTACACCAAGAACTTTTTTTTTAAATTAAATAAACATTAAGTACATAGAAAGTAAAAATGAATTAACTACATAATTAGTGCAAACAAAAAATTAAATAAATATGAATTTTGTCAAAAAGAAATTTATTATTTTTTATTTTTATTGCATCTGCTGCTCCACATATTTTTTCATATTCTTTTTGTTACTAAATCTAACCCGATAATATTGTGTATTGTGTTCCAATTATTTTATTAATTAAAAAAATTGGCTAAATTATTTTTAGTCCTGCTGTTTTTGACATACTTTATATTTATTATTTTTACTAATTATTTAGTGTAGAGGACTGGAAAGTAGTGGTTATCTGTCTCATATATAAGAAAAGCGACAAGCTCTGCTATTCTAACTACAGAGGGATTTTTCTGTTGAATGTTGCCTACAATGTATTATCTACTGTCATCAACTGGAGATTTACCACTCACATAGAAAGAGAAGTCGGGGAGTACCAATGTGGCGTTAGGCGAGGAAGTTCCACAATAGACCAAATATTCACAGTACACCAGGTGCTGGTGAAGTCTTTGGAACACGATGTTGATCTGCATCATCTTTTCGTGGACTTCAAACGGCCCTACAACTCAGTGTATCGATCAAGACTGCTCAGAGATCATCTATCCCTGGGTCTCTTGAGGAAACTGATCAGGCTGGTAAGAATGACCATGAGGGACACAAGATGCCGGGTGAAGCTGCAGGAGGTACTATTCGAAGAGTTTCAGATAACGGCAGGAATCTTGCTAGGACATACAAAGGTAACCACGCTTTTTAATATGAGCTTGGAAAAAGCTGTGCATGCCATCAGGACAAACCCAGGAGGCACAATCTTTAATCGCCTAACACAGCATCTTGGATATGCAGATGACGTGGAGATGGTAGTCAGATTCGTTCCAGCAATGGCAGTAGTTATGGAGGAGCTTAAGGGGGCTGCACCGGCAAGGGGTCTGCGCACAAACTAAAAAAAGACTGCCTACATGAAGAGTAGCAGACATCATCCCTTGCAGAACAAAGAAATAATAAGTATCTGTGTTCATAATTTCTCAGTATGCTGGGAGTTTAAGTACCTTGGCTCCTTGGTGACAGATGGTAACAGTATTATGGCTGAAATTGGTGCCAGAATAGCTGCGGGAAACAGATGCTATTTTGCCTTTCAGCGGATACTTAAATTTCCTGGTGTATCAAGGAAGGCATGGGAAGTAGTGTAGAAGACTATGATTTGCCCTGTTGTAACTTATGGCAGTAAAACATAGACAATGACGGCTGAGCATGAAAGAATGCTCAGAGAGAGAAAGATCTATCTGCGCAAGATATATGGATACATACGTTTGTGTGAGAGAGGAGTCTGTAGAGCCATGTACAACCAGGAGCTTGCTGCACTATACGGACAGGCAGACATTGTCACCTTCATCAAGGCAGCCCTTATAAGATGGCTGGGCCATGTGGAGAGGATGCCGGAGGGAAGGGTGCCAAGGAAAGTGCTGTTTAAACAACCGGGAGGAGGAAGAAGGAGTAGTAGACCACCACTCTGATGCATAGATAGCCCTGGTGATGACCCAAATGCTTGAATTCGACAAACATAATAAACCATATAAATGACTGCATATTCTGAATAATTTTCATCCTTAGGTGTAATAAAGTTATTATATTACCAAAGAAGTTCTCATATCGCTGGATCTGATATTTCTATTCACTGTAGTTATTACCAACGTTTTCTTTAATTGTGTTCTTTTAGAGATAATTTAAGCTGTTATATTTATGATTTATATTTTTCGCACACCATCTTATTAATGATATCTTGCAGGTCTGCAATGCGGTCGGACGATGAGGATCAGGGTGCGCGGGACGCTGACCCGGGTAAGGCCGAAGATCCGTGTCTCAACCCCAGGCCGGGGGTACAAGTGCATCAGGATTCTCCCGCTGCTGTCCGTCTTCATCATCGTCACCGCCCTGTCCATCCTTGCACTATCAGAGGTAATTCGCTTCACAGCTATACCAATTCAGCTTAGAAGCATTAAAATAATTTATATAGTAAAGTTATTTTGTTTTCTTGTGCTTCATTTTTTGATAATCTGATTTCACTTCTTAAACATCGTATATCATCAATTCTAGTCTCACTTGTGGTTTGCCATAACTTTTTCAACAATTATCTCTTGTATGCCTATTGTTTTTTCTCAACTTTTCTCAATTCAATCGGCCTCATACCTTCAAAACCTTAGAAGTTAGATGAGTGCTAAAAGACTTCATGAAATTTAAATGAACAATGTTAGGGCCATTGTTGATCATTTATCTCACACACACACATATATCACATCTTATCTTGTTATTTCATTTTATAAATTGACAAAAATATTTTATCATTTATTCATTAAGGAATAAATACTAGTATATGTCGTAGATGTCTGTGGTTGCAAAAGACACAGTAACTGGAGTCATAGGAGGTGGAGGAGCGGCTTCAAGAATTATGCCCGGAAGAGCACATACTCGACTTCAGCATCACAAACCCAGTCACCAGGTTCAGCTTTATTTTCAATGTTGCTTTAACTAAACAACTGAAACCTTTTTTAAATAGTTCCTATAATATTGAATAAGTTCTAATTAAATTTATTTGGTCAAATCTTATTGCTTTTCAATATATATATATATTTATTTTTTAAGGAGAAAGGTATGTCCTTCAAGATGGAACCACTTTTACGCAGAGATGCTCTATCTGTGGAGCTAACAGCGCAAATGGTCGTAAACAGGTACCGAGGTGGTGTCATCGCAAATACAATAGAAAAGGAATCAATCTATCGTGGTCCTTTGCACTGCAACCATCCGCCTCGTGACTGTCCTTTAGTCCCACCAAACTTATGTAAGAACATTTTTATAATTGTCTGTTTGATATTTATTTTTTTCAATAATTTAGATTTAAACAATGATTTAGTCTAGACATACGGAACCTATATAAAAAAATATGTATACTAATTGAAATTTCTCTTTGCTAAAATATAAAATTTATAGTATTACTCTAAAGATACTTTAATTTAAAAAGGAAAAGTACTTATAGTTGAAATGATTATATTATGATTTATGTAATAGTGGAATCAGTTTATATTAAATTTTAACTTGAATGTTTGTAACAAATTTTTTCCCTGTCTGCTGGTGTTCCTCAAGGTATTGTTCTCGGTCCTATTCTTTGCACAGTTTATAACGCTGACATTCCTACTCATCCTTTAGACTATCATCACCATGTATGTTGATGGCACATGCATACTACCAATTAATAACGATCCATCCATTGGAGCACAATCTCTTTAATCATATATCGCAAACTTTTAAGAATGGTGCCAAACTGGAGGATTAAAATAAATTCTGCCAAATCATCTTTATCCTTCAACATCCTGTTCTTTAGTATTATTTAATAATACTCCTCTTATCCCGGTTGTACAGATCTGATTCCTAGGACTACACCTGAATAAATGTCTAACTTGGACTACTTAGACTACACTGTAAGCTCCCAATTAATTTCAAGGAATATATGTACAACATGACTATAACAAGGCCTATTTGGGCTCATTAGTTGAGCTTTGGGGCTCCACTAAACCATCAAACTCCTCTTACATCCAATCCTTTCAATCCAAAATCTGCAATGCTCTTTACTTCGTCACAAATAAAATCATTGATAATAACCCTTGTTCTATATGTTGCCAATTTGGCCCAAATTAGGTACCTACTCTTCATTAATAAACTTCAGAACCATCGGAATCCTCTTGTTTCTAGCCTTGCTTCCCTTTGTCACTGATAATCATCTGAGACATCAGAAAAAAAAGATCACCTTGGGACCTTCTATGTAGTATTTTTATTAGAATGCTAACAATGGGTAATTTCTCTGCAAGTATTTTTATGTCATTTTATTATTCTGTCCATATTTACTCGTTGTAATTTTATTTTAATACGGTTGTAAATTTCATGAAAAAAAGAAAACTTAAAAGTTTAATCTATATTTTAAAATTTTAACCTGTTTGAGTTTAGTACATTATAACAGTTTTGTTTTTTTTACTTTTTCCCAGACATTTTTTTTTTAATTGCCACATATATATATATATTAAAATTATTGCAGGTGGTAGGATTGATGTGGAAACCTGGCTCAAAGAAACTAAGACAATGCCAAATATTAACTTGACATATGTGCCAAAAGATTGCTCCCCACGACACGCTGTGGCCATCATCATTCCATATAGAGACCGGGAGAAGCAGTTGTCCATGCTTCTGTCTTACCTTCCTCCTATCCTTGAACGTCAGCAATTAGCTTACCACATCTTTATTATTGAGCAGGTACGTTTAAATTATTTTATATTTTTCAAATTTCATAGTTTAATTTAATTAAGTATTTAAGAAAAAATAACATATTTGTTTGAATCCAAACTACACTTTTTTTCTAATAAAAGTTATAATATTGGGTATAAGAGTCAAACCCAACTTATTATTTGTTTGTTGATATAAGTAAGAAGAAAAAATGATCCTAGGTTTATTCCTATGAATAAACATAATGTTAAAATAAAATTTAATTGAGGGGGGATAATAAAATGAAGAAATAATAATGCTACATTTTTCTCCCAAAATAAAAAATTTATAATGCTGCATTTCATATCAATTCGTATTATTATTGTGATTCAATAATGCTTCTATCTATGTTTTTATTGTATAGATTCTTTTTTCTCATTTCTTAATTTTTATTCATTTATTATAGTATAATAAAATGAAAACTTTGATGCAAGAACCATATAAGACCAGAATTGAATAAGACACAGGGTAAATCCGCCATTAATAAATCTTTAAGTACAGAAGTAATCTTGTTTTTGTCGCAAAGGTTTATTTCAGTCATTAAAATTGTTACAAAAATATGGCAAGTCCAGACTTATCAGATTTTTACACTTGTGCATAACAGATTTTCTATTGGCCGATGATCGATGATGTAGTCTTTCCTGGACAAGAGAGGATTAGTATTAGGTTTGTACCCGCTTCTTGTGTCAATTAAAACAGAAATATTTTACACAGGCAAAAATACATTTAACCGTTTTTTTTTTGGAAAATTTGGATCTAATTCTTGCATCATAATCCTCATCTGTTTACAAGATGCTAGGTATATTTAAACTAATATTATATTAAATTACTATTAATTTTTTTCTAGTGTTATTATATTTAAATTACAGATTGGCAATGACACTTTCAACAAAGGCCTGCTGATGAACGCTGGAGCATTGACAGCTCTCGAGTACCACTCCTATCCAGGAGTGATGTTTCATTGCCTCGTATTCCATGACGTAGATATGTTGCCTGAGGATGACAGGATATTATACTCCTGTCCACAACAGCCCCGTCATCTTTCTGTTGCTGTAAATGAACTCAATTATAGGTTTGCATCTATAAATGTGATTTTGACAATGTTTAAAAAGCTTAATATTTTTAAATCCGTTTGAAATAAGCACACGACAGTAATTTAAAGACAGTAATTTTTAAAAGAAGGATTAAAAATTAATTTAGTTTGAGACTAAAAGTAATCAATTAAACATATATATTAAACATTAAACATATTTAATAAATTAATAATCCTGGCTGACAGACAGTACCTATCCCAGAACCATTAAAAGGCAGAAATTAAATCGCAGATTCAAAAGTCTGTCTCATCCTGTGGAAACTGTTATAACAAGCAATAATTATTGCTAAGTGATGTCTTGATATTTAGGTATCTCAATTAAGGTTTTTCTATTTTTCCCTAAGTAAGGTGGTCCTAAGGTAATATTCACATTGGTTTTCCTCATTTATTCTACCATACTGTCCATGGTGGGATTTTTTATTTGTATTCCAGATAGTAATATTTGATTCAGTAGACTTCCACTATTCAAATGTATTTTTCCTCTATCAGCCGATCTATTCTTCTTTTTTTTTTAAACTTTATCTTTAATTTTAATTGTTTTTATCAAAGGAATGTTTTTAATTACTCTTCAATCATTAAATATGAAATTTTACAATGAATATTATTAACTATAGTTTTCAATTTTTTACTTTCACTTACTATATATGAAATATATAATAAGGGTAAGTATTGCGATCGTTAAAATTTTCGAATCGAGTTTTCAACAGAAATACGTGTTTTGAGGTCTCCCGAGTCCAAATAACCAAGTCCCGCGAAATGGTCTGCATGTGTGTGACATACCTTCAGAGGAAATTTTTATCTTGTCTTGAGGTCCTTTGTTCATTTTTGCAGTTTGACCACTTATCCCTGAAACATCCTGTATACTTTCTGATATGCTTTGTTATTTTTTATTTTAAAACAATAAGAAAAGGTTATATTTCATAATTTAAAGTAAGCATGGTACACATGAAGTATTTGCTTGGATTATTAATTCAAAAATTAATTAACAAAGAAGCTTAATTTTTGCCATGCACATTTATTTTTGTAGCTTTTGTTTTTCACTGATAATGATGTAATATTTTATTTGGAATATTGTCTAGCAATAAATAGTAATAAATATGTATTTTATTTTGACTGCCTTAGACGATCTCCTCTTTAGTTTTGTCATACAAATTAGACTGTTCAAGTGCTTATTAATTTTGTACACTGGTTTTTTTTTTGGTTTTTTAATTCAAATATACTGTTTCAGACTGCCCTATCGACAGCTTGTTGGAGGTGTATTTTCTATTCGCACTGATCATTTTCTTAGAGTCAATGGTTATTCCAATTTATTTTGGGGCTGGGGTGGAGAGGATGATGATATGGGATACAGGTGATTTGAATTTATGCATATATATATATACATTATTTTAAAGACATTTCTGGATTATTGGAATGTAAAATGACTTTTTAACTCTTTGAGCCTAACATATATTTTTTAATTCAAGAGTTGAACATGTACTTCTTTGGATCTCTCGACCTCCAGAATGGATAGCTCGTTATACTATGATAAAACATGAGAAAAGACGCCCTCTTGCTAGAAAAGTAAGGACCAAATTACTGAGAACCTCTTGGAGACGCTACCGTCTCGATGGTCTCAATACAGCTGCCTACGGTCTCATGGAAGTGAAGCATATCAGCCCGATACTCACTCATATCCTGATAGATGTAGGTCACCCACCCAACAGCATCAAGCAGCTTCAACAAGAAGAGGAAGGAAACACCTAATTTTTTCTTCATGAGAAATTTTTAAACACTTGTTTCTTTTGTAATAAGGTTACCTCTAAATGTATATTTATTTAAAATTTAGAATTGATTGACCAATTCTCATGTTAAATTATTATTAATGGTTGTTAAATTATTTTGAACTAATGGATACTTCAATTCTATAACATGTTCAATAGTGGAAAGTTATGAAAAATCAAAAGCTGAAATAATTTAGGAAAGATATTGTAATTTTATGAGGATTTCGAAAGACACGAATTAGTTATTTTTTATTTTAATTGACAATTGTTTAATTAGTTTTAATCTCATAGTTCCTTTTCTTCTCCATTCTATGACAATTTATTTGATTTAATAGTAATATTATAACCAATCATAGTTATTATGACAAAAATAATCCTTTATAATAAATGTTCTCCTTTAAACCCTGAAATGATAATCCATTATGCTTTTATTTTATCAAAGATTTTCTATACTTTGTGAAACCATTTATTATGGCCTATTACTAGGCATAATTTTGATTTTATTATCGGTAGGAGTTTCAATTGAAAAATAGTTTTGATGAACACTGTTTCAATAATTATACCAATATCTGGCATCTGTCATAGAAATTTATGAATTTATTGTAAATGAGATGTTATTGTTTACATGATAAACTTTAGTAATCGTTAATTTAAATTAATGAGGGAATAATTTAACTTAACTTTTACTAGGAACAATTATTGAATAAAAGTACAAGGATATTTGATGAAACCAGGGTCCATGTAAAATTTAAATCTCTGGTTAGTCAGAAAGTATAATTTTTATTTAACAACCATAAGGCATAATTAAAAGCTATGAAATTATCAATGTTATGTCCAGAATCAAAGGTATATTTGTTTGTGCACTTTCAAACATGAAATATCACCTCGGTTCATTCATTGCTTAATATAGTTAGGTTTACTAGGTGTTAATAAACAAAACTTTGTCTATAATTAAAATTGTTCAGCTGTATGAGAAGAAGTATCATTTCTCAATCAAGGTCCTAGTGTTTTAATTTATGGTATTTTGACCAATGTCTGCTCATTTCTAATAAGTTTTAGGTCTTGGCCTAAAATATGGTTTTATTTTTCAAGTTTACGATAAGCAGATAAAAAAAATAAAGTTCTTGTCCCGCTTATAGTCCTGAAATTCCAAAGACCAAAGATTCATAATAAATTAATAATAAAATTGTTTTAAAATATTTTACTGTTAAACAATGGTTCATAACCTGTTTACAGATCGTTAAATAAAAGCCAAAGTATCTAAAAAGATCCCCCTCATATAAAATAGGGAATAATACCTACTGAAGGATAGATGTTTATTTTGAAATAATACATTTATGTATAACACAAGTTAGCTCATTTCTATCTCAGGGAGGTACGTTATATCCCTGAACTCAGTACTACAATTAACTTCCATTCCTACTTCAAATTAACCCCACCTTATTAACCTTTTCACCCACATCATGTGGCGTATAGTCTCCAAATAGTTTCTGATTACACTTCTGTTAAGTTTTATACCATGGATCAGAGTATACAAGTGAAGATAGCAAATTCTCGAGTGGTATTTGCAAGTATTTTCACAGCTGAAACAGTCAGATTGTAATTTTCCTCAAAAATTCAGTAACACACAGATATTCACAAGTACTTTCTCACACTCCCGACTCTGGTCAAGAACCACTGTTAGAGGAAGGAAATGAAGACTTTTTTATATAAACATGGGATTCATATTAAATTATATGTAAAATATAGTTAGTTAAACTATAAATAATAGAAAAATATCTATAATAATTATTTATTAATCTTCGTTATAAATATTAATAAAATGCAATGTGTACACCTTAATATTTATGTATTGATAAAATGCTTTATCATCATTTCTTAAAATATATTTTTAAACAGTACAATACACAGTAGTCTGTGTAAATCTGTGATGATTAAAATAAATGTAACACCACGAAACCACAGACATACATAAAAAATAGGTTTGACTGAAACATCATTGATCCATATTTTTGTAAATCGTTCAACAGATTTTGACATCTTGTATTATAAATAAGTTGAATCATTAGATGCTATGAAGAACGAATCTTGAATAAAACTAGCACCATTTGGTCCCTTCGATCAAGTTAGTATTATGAATAATAATTGTGAAAGCCGTTATGTTATTTAAATTATTGTGATTGTTGACAGTATTTTAATCATTGTACTTCCCGAGGGAATAGTAGACATTTGATCCCACCGTAATTGTAAGTATGTGATTGAACAAGTGCCTTTAACAATAGTTTTTTTTTAACAAAATGGAAATGGTCATCAGATTTAGCAAAAGCTTATTCATTTTTCAAGTATAGTTTTCATTTAAAAGTAATTTATTTATTAATTGAGTCAGAGTAAACATTTAAATTAAATTACATTTTGAGTGTTACTGTACCTATTTAATTTATTTTTCCAATAAACTATCCTTATACATAAATTGTTCATTATGCTTTTGTGCCATAGGGATTTGATCATTTATGTATAACGATACTTATAAAGTTGATGATATATTATTAGCCATTAATTTTAATATTAAATAGAATCCTTAAGCAAGGGTTAGTCGCTCTGTTTCATGAAATGATAAATTAAGTTCACCTAGGCAGTATTGAAAAATAGGGAAAAATTTTGTTGTAAGTTTTGATACTTCCATTTTTTTTTTTTTTTTGGATCTCTGTTCACAAATCTAAGGTTTTGATGAAATTCTTTCTTCTTTTTTCCTATATAGAACCTAGTTGTTTTGTTTTTTTCAAATAATGTCAACATTTTGACACTGTTTAGTTTTTCGCCTTATCTCAAAAAGTATTTTTTTTAAATATATAAAATGAATTATTTGGGTCTTTTTCACAGCCATTTTACTTTGAAAATTATGCTTGTTTTGACCTAATAAGAATATTAGTATTTTTGTGGTGTTTAATAGCATATAAGATCAACAATCAAGTAGTTTCCATAAACTGTGTTAATACTATTTTGGGGAATTTGGTCCTTTTATATTATAGACATAAAATGTAGACAATTTTCCTTATTTTAATTTTGTATAGTGTTTTTTAAGAAGAAACAAATAATTTTTAAATATACCTGAATAATCAGTAAAATTTTCAACCAACATTTTGCAAAAATAATAAAAAAAATTCTAGGAAAAAAAGCTGTAATGAAATTCATATTCATATTCAGAAATAGAAAAATATATATAAAAAAAATATTTCATCAAAATTTACTACATAAAACTTTACCATTAAACTATTTTTATTTTTATAACCTCCAACCCGGACCATCTCCTTACTCAATAAAACTTTACCATGTTTGCCCTTATTTAATATTATTATTTAACAATATTTGCCATTATAATTCTAGTCTTTTATGGAATTAATACCTGGGGTTGACTGAAATACAAGAGATCATAAAATAATGCAGCATGGGAATATTTTTCCTCATTTCTTCAATTTTCTAACTCTGACTCAAGATTTATTGTTACTGGAGTGATGTAAATATTTTGTTAAAGTAAATTTATACATAAAGATAAAATAAAAGTAAAAAATGTCATAATTATATAAATATTTTATTGTTTTATAACTAATAGCTACTTCTGAGATGAATAAACGCTACTTTGAAGTCCAGCCAAAATTAATAATTAGTAAAATGATCCTATTATTTATGTAAATGTAATTTTATGGTTGTATGTGCTTGTTAGAAATCATTAAAAAAAAAAGTCCAAATCATCAGCTTTTAGATAAAATTACTGTATAATATTGAAATTAATAAAATATAAATATTGTCTTTGTTTTTTTATTGAATCGCAACTCTTCATGCCTGACAATCAGCTTATTATATAACACTTATTTGCCTTAGGTAAATTTAATAAGTAGTCACAACCAGTTTTTGATCGCTATTTATTCATGAACGTTTCGGGAATCTTGGTTCTCCTCTTCTTGGTCAATGGCTGTAATCCAAGTAAAAAGATGGTTTTAGTTGGACTACAGGCGTTCACCAAAATTGTTATTAATAACTGTGACTTGCCCAATTTTTGGGGTATATCATTTTGCTGAAGAGGGGGGACAAAGATTCCCTGAAACCTTGGTTAATAAATAGATTAGTTGTGATTACTTATTAAATTGACCTAAAAGTAAAGAAGTGCGAAAATATGTAGAATAAAGGTCAACATTGGACGATGGAAAAACATGCTTGATGTTCCATTGAAATTGACTGATGAAATCTATTAGAAACTTGAATTGCCAACTAGTTTCTAGCTGGCATCTCTGTATAACTCAACCACAAATTTTTACCTTACTTAAATGCTCCTCTTTTAAAAATCTAAAAAGTGTTTCTTAATAATTATGAAAACATGGCCCTACAAGGTGAAGCGAGATTCCATAAAAAATTCAATATATTAATTATTTCATTAATAGTTTTAGTAAGTAAAACTCAATATTACATACAATCATTCATATATAAAATATGAATACAGTTTATAATACATAATTACATATATAAACTTCACTTGTGTATTTCTCCTGGATTTTTTTAAAAATAACTACTGTAATGAATTGCAAATACTAGAAGAACGTCCCAGAACTTCTGGTTTAAGAAGCGAAGAAGGAACTAGTGATTCAGGGGCTGAGAAAGTTGGGACTGAGTTTGACTGTTGTGAAATACTGAAGGAGAAGATGGTGTACTTAAGGCACTACTGTAGTGATAATGTTGCTATGAGTACATCTCAGTCTCAGCTTTGTAGATAAAATTATTTATTCGGTGCATCAAGATACTTCTTCCTTCGTCTCCAAATTTTAGAAGCTTGATAGCCATGAGCTCCCCAAACTTTGTGCATTCATTTAGAATGGAATCACTGATAATATTTTGAGATAGCCTTTGATAGTTCTTTTTTGATGGAAGTTTCTTGGAACAATCCAATTTTCTGGAAGGTCTATCTTCATTTTTAGAGATAAATGCAGAGCTCTCTTGTTTGGGAATAGGTGTTACAGATATCTCATTTTTTTCATCTGAAACATCTTGTGGGGCTTTTTCATCAGCCATCTAAAATAATAAAGTTAAATAAAACAATTTATTGTTGTTAATTTTTATAAAACTTATTATTGTAAGAATTAATAATTCATATAGCCTTTACAAAAATATTATTAGTAACACCTAAATACCTTAAAAGTAGTGATAAAACTTTAAAATGTAAACAGACTAGAGTCTAAAAACTAATTTTGCTAGGTATGCTGTTTTCACAAATAGAAGGCCTCTAATCTTATGTAGGTAAATTGTTCTGGGTATCGGAAAATTCATAATGTAAATTTTTTTTGTTATTGGGAAACTAATATTTTTAATTCATTAATAATACATTTTAAATTTAATTAATTGATGTTATTTAAGAAATAATTTTAATTTTTCTTGTAATCATGATTTTACAAAAAAAAAAAAAAAAAATTATTGGGGCTGAACTTCAGTTGGCTGTCATGCATTTCTTCTTAATCAAATATCACTAGATACCAGATACCAGGTAAAGGATTTAATTTTGGAGGATTTCAGCCTGAAAGCTCTTTTTTTCAAGTGAATATAAAGCTAGAATAAATACAAAAATGTACTGCATATATAAATGAGCTAATTTGTATGCTATATTTAGTAACTGTATATACATAATAATTATTAAAAATATACATATTGTGATTGCTTAAGTATTTATCTTAAATCAGTCACAGTTACAAATATGGTTCAATGGAAAAAAATTTTGGATAATTTTTCCATTTTGGAGGAGATTTCAGTCTGAAAGTTTCAGTATAACAACAGTTACCAATAAACATACATTGTTTTCCTATCTAGTTTTCAATGTGTTAATCATTTGATAGGATTAAGATAAATTATCGTTTTCTGTTATTTTTTTATAACTTATTACTTTCTGTAAGTTTGATTGTTGCAGACATTAATGTTGTTTGTTTTTCTAGCTTTATTAGTTGTACATAACATGTGAAATGTTAATAATGTATTTAGGTATTTTTTGTGTAGAATTACTGGCTAGAGAAAAAAATTTTTTTTAATTTCTCGCACGAACACAATGCTTCCCTGCCTTCGGTAGTGAGGAAGCAATATTGTATTTTTCATTAGGTGACAACTAAATGCTTGATATTCAGAGGATTAATAGATTAAGCCAAAGATCTCCCAACTTTCTGACTCCAGGGCCATGGCTTGTGAAAAAAAAAAAAAAAAAAATATTGTTCCATAAATGACACTTCAGTTGTGAAATGAGCTTTCTAATTAAAACTCATATAATAAATGCTGTAGTAACCTTGTGTTTGAGTGATTTACTAAATGTAATCAAAGATACATTCGCGTGCCGAATTGCGAGTGTTTCCGGGCCATAATTTAGAGCACAAACAGATCCAGGATTTAATTTTGGAGGGGCTTCAGTCCGAAAGAATTTTTTTGTGTATGTATAAATTAGGATAATTACTATGGAAGAAAGAAAAAAAACTAACTACCTGTATGAAATTGTGTTTAAGTGATTCTTGAAACCCTATTAAATGTAAGTAGATGAACAATAATATTTTTAGAGTTAATTTTTTTTTCATAAAACATGTTTATATTTTACCACTTTGGGGGGGAGGGGCTTCAGCCCGAAAACCCCCCTCGTAAATCCGCATGTGCCGCCCAAATAAAATGTTTATGAAGGAACAATTTTTCGATGACCCAGCACCCATGTTAGCCAATGCACATCGCTCCGCCGTTGTCCTGAGAACAGCTCACCACACAACACTAGCGGATCCAGAATTTAATTTTTTTTTGGGGGGGGGCTTCAGCCCGGAAGCTTTTTTTTCATAAAAATAACGATAATTACTTTGGAAAAACAGAAAGAAACTAACTACCTATATGAAATGGTGTTTAAGTGATTCCTTAAGTCCTTTTAAATGTAATTACACGAACAATAATATTTTAAGAGGTATTTTTTTCCCATAAAACATGGTTGTGTTTTACCATTTTGGAGGGGGGGAGACTTCATCCCGAAAGCTTCCCCTCCCCCGTAGATCCGCCTGTGCCACACAACCCAAAACTCGTTGAAGTTGAACCTGAGCAGTTCCTGCCAAAGCATCTTCGCTCTCGTCCGAACACATCTGTCGTTAGTTCCAATGTTATTCGATAGATCCCACTATCTTCAATACACTGGCTCAGACGTAACCTTCTGGACTGTTATGTCAGTTGATGAGATTTGACTTAAGTGTTACGCGAATACAGGCAAAAAAGTAAAAAGTCATGTCAGGCTTTATGATGAGGGGTGTTGTTGGAGTTAGTAAGTTTAAAGGTGCTCTTGTAGGTGCTTTGCTTGGAGATTGCTTAGGAGCCCCCTTTGAAGGTGAAAATGAGCCTTCAACTGATACCCTTCAAGAATATTTTGATTCTATGGAAAATCCTTCCACTAAAGGTTAGTTACATACTCAACAGTCCCTTTTCAAGCTATCTTGGAATGATTTTCTATTTCTTTTCTGTTTTTAGCTCCTGTTAAAAGATTTACTGATGATACAGCAATGACATTAGGGATATTGAAATCATTTATAGAATTGGGATGTTTTGATGAAAGAGATATTGCAAACAGGTGAACATCCTTAGTAAGTAGTTTCGGACTGTAATTATTTTAAGAAACAATTTTAAAAATGAATGTCAGTTATACTTAATGCCATAGGTTTGTTACTAATTACTTTCGAGAACCAAATAGAGGCTATGGGGAAAGTGTTGTTACAGTTTTCAAGAAACTTCGCCAGATACTAAATAGTTCGAACAGATCCAATTCTGAGACAGACGTTTGGAAGCCTGCTCAACAGCAATTTAATGGTTCTGGTTCATTGGGCAATGGTGGAGCAATGCGGATAGCCCCAGTAGCACTTTATTGTTATTCAGATTACAAATTGCTCCTCAGTACTGCTGAAAAATGTACAAAATTGACTCATACACACAAACTTGGAGTTAACGGTGCTCTGCTGCAGGTTTGTTTTATGCTCATTTTTACTTAAAAATTCATCCAAATCACTTTCGCTTGATTGTCTAATTTATGCAAGTTTCATGGAGGGCTACATGATGAATTTGTGATCATACTATAAATGGAAATCATAGAATGTCCCAGTATTGACAGGTATTACAGTATTCACTGCTATTACCTCCATTTATATAAATAGTGATATATGAATTATGAAATTTTCCATTACAGTTGAGTTCAGAGCATTAACAGATGATTTGGTCATCTCTGTTTACTTTTGGACAAACTTGACTATTCACAGTATGGCCATTTATAGTGTGAAAATTGTTTCATGCGCCCATCCATCAAAGTGGAGGAATACTTGTAAAGTATTACTACACTTTCTCGTGATCAATAACTCATGCAATTAAATAATATTGGAAATATAATATAGGAATACCTAATAGTTTTCTTGAAAGTGAAATTAGATTAAGAAACATATCAAATAACCTTATGAACAATATTATTCCATTATGCTATAATTATATTAACATAGTAATAAGTTAAAATTTGTCAACTAATGCAAAATAAGATATTAATATTTTTGAAGGTATATTAATACATTATTCCTCATCTATAGGCTCTTGCAGTGCAGCAGAGCCTGATGGTCGATTCCAGTCAACCCCTTGATGTTGATTGCTTCATAAATGATTTAATGGCAAAAATGACAGAAGTTGAAAAAGCCAATGGAAATGGGTAAGCTTATATCGGTTATTAAGGTACTACTTTACAAGTGTCACTTCACCTTCAGATGAGCGGACATAACATTCTATGATAAAAGTTTAGATAGAATTTTGAAAATGGTCGAGTCTGTCCAAAAGTGTACAGAAGTCATTGAACCTTTGATAAGACTTTAGCCTTAACTGAAAATGGCCCGTTAAAGTATCCCTTTTGGATGTGTGTAGCCAGCGAATGTGAAAAGCAGCAATGTTATAAAAGCTTATTAGGGTTCCATTTTTAATTGAAAATGATTCGGTCCTTTGCCGAAGTTGTAAATCATAATCTAAATTAAGGGATATTACACTGATGACATGTCAATATTTATAAGATCTTATGCCAAACCATCATGGTGGAGTGATGCTTACGAATTGGTACCTATCCATTATTATTAAAAAATGGTTATTAAATGAATATAAACTAATTTAAAATTTGATTCTTTTAGAACCGATAATGATATTGAGATGCCGTACGTGGAACAGTTGAAAATAGTAAAAAATTTACTAATGTCAGAAAACCTGGATGACGAAGTAGTTATCGACCTTTTAGGAAATAGCATAAGGGCTCAGTATTCAGTACCCACAGCCCTATTTTGCTTTCTCAGAGCCCAAAAACCAATTGAATCGATTCAGGTGAATATGTTATTGATCATAAATATATGAACCATTGTAAGCAAAAAGGGTCATTAAGTCATGTTCGTAATAAATAATTAGTTTTCTACTAAATTTATTAAACCAATGTTTTCAAATAGTGGAATAAGTTTAAGACTACTTATAATGGAAAAAGTGAACTTTTATTTTTATTAAGAAATACCAATTAAGGTACTATTTCACTGGCGCTATTTCACACTGCCAGCAGCTGTTGCATAGCTATTTTGCTGAAACTGCTCACTGGGGTTGTTATAAACCTTTGAACATTTTGTTCCATCTTTGAAGATAAAAATGTGGACTTACTATCTATTACCACCGCTTTTTTATTCTTTTATTTATTTAATATCGTTTGGATTTAGGCATGTTTGAATTTCGCTCTAAAATACTGTTGGTGGAATAAATAAATAAATAATCTTGTTACTTCAACCTTAAAAAAATAATTTACTATTGCATTGTTTAAGTTTTAAACAATATTTTTTATAATTTTGCCAGACTTGAAATAAACATAGGAAATAAAATGTATCAACATGACTGTCATCATCAAAACAATGCTCTGATGTGATAACATAAGAACCGCCGAACCACCAACAGTTCCATTGGCTTCAGGAGCGGTCAGATAGGAGCAGCTTAGATATGACATCATACCTAGACTGCGGAGCAGTTCCAACGAAATAGGTTCCTTTCTGTTGCACTAAAGCAGTGGTCAATCGCAAGCAGTCGCTGCCGTGGGCAGCGTCAGCGAAATAGTATCTTTATTATTTTATACCTACCTTTATAGAACTTCCTTAAAGTATTGAACATCTCAAAGCTTCATTTTTTGACTTGCACTCTTTTGCATTAAACAGCACATATAATAAATATTAGATTTATGATATTGAAATGTGTAATATTTATTTAAGTAGTTTTTTCTACTTTAAAAAGTAATGTTGTATAATGACCAGGAATCGTAGGAGTGGACTCTGATGTCCGATGCCATTTATATAACAAGTACTTTATTATTTCAGTAAACAAGTGTTATTTTTAGGGATATAAATTTTAAATATTGAAAATGAAATGAGAAAAAGTTTATTTATTACATATAATTATAATTCTCAAGATGTAATTTATACATTATTTATAGATATTTGGGTATTCACTATTACATTTTTTTTTTCTAAAATAAAACTTTTATTGCAAGAGCATTGGGTATTAATACACTATGTGTACGTTCATACAGTTATATACAAAATTGAGAAAAAAAAGTAATAGTAAGAAAACATGTAAATATAAAATAAAAATATATAAAATACTTGTAAAAATACTCTCGATAATAGTCGAAATTCATACAACCTACCTCTACTGCCTTCCAGCTATGATCCCGTTTAATAACTCATTAGGCACTTGTGGATGAGCAAAGTCCGTTTCACATTCCTCCTCAACCTCCGTTTCAGATGAATTTGATTAAGGTAAATAATCTTTGTGTTATCGAATCATCACTCGATACCATGTCACACTTACTACTACTGCTATCAATTTCCTCTTCTTTTTGGCGAGCTAATGCTGTAGCCACCGATTTCTGATCATGAGCCATATTAAATAAGCAAAAGAAACAGTCTAAGATGAACTCTCAACAGCTACTGCGCGACAGAAGTCCAAAGAAGACAAGACTATGCATGTGCACTGTCCTGCCACGGTAGGAATATGCATCGGACGCGGGGGGGAGGGGAGGAGTGGTTCTGTAGGAAGATCATTTGTTTATCGGTCCCCGCCATCCGAAAACTTTTTATCATCAGAGTGAATATTTGATCACACGGGTTATTCACTTTTTTGTCTCTCACTTTAGGGGAGTGAATGCATGAACGGAGTATATGAAAAATACATTCTTATTGTACTGAACTTAATTCTTGTGATTCTGAAGATTCATTGGTTTGAAAAGATGAAGCTTGAGTTGTTTTTTCATCCTGTGTTAAATTTTCCAAGTAATGAAATCAATTCTCTGTCTCTCGCTATCTGGTAATTGTAGCTTATTTGGATTCAAGCTCATTTTGCAGTGTCCAGGAGGTTTCAATTGTTTTGAAGGTCGTTACCACTCTTTCCTTTGCTTTGTCTAGTTCCATGGTAACCAGTGCTGACCTCACAGCAGGGAAACCCGGGCATGTAGCCCAGATGCGGAGGGCTGGAAGTACCCGCCAAGTTATTAGAAATTTAAAAAAATAATGCAAAGTGTATGAGAACAATTAATTTTAGCCTATTAATAAAGCTAATCGATACTGTAGTCTAAATGTACGCTTTATACATTTTGTATTTACATGAACACCTTTCATTGAGCATTTCATTACATTTTTTCAGTAACGACACAATCTCTATAACCTTTACTGTAACTTACAGTTTTTTACATCACAATTTGCTGGTTTTTAAATTAAAGGCTTTTACAAAAGGCCATAAAGAAAAAATGAAACATCGTAGATTTCATTTTGTGAGATCAGAATATGCGCCAGGACAAGATTGACCAGTAAAGTTCAAAACCTCATTTTCCGTAGAAATTGACCTTACAGGCTTTTGCATTGCGGCTGTCATATACATACATATATATATATTGATCGTATCCCAGACCAACTCCTCATATATTTTTTTTAATGTTTTAACAACTTGTCCAAGAATTAATAAACAATATCATTATTTATTGCTATCAATGTTTTTTTTCTATTTAGACGGAAAACAAATTCAGAAGAACCCTTCAGTATAGTATTTCCTTGGGAGGAGATACTGACACTATAGCTTCAATGGCAGGAGCAATGTCAGGTGCTTACCATGGTTTGGAGTACATCAATGAGGGTCTCCAGTCCCATTGTGAAGGTGTAGATGAGATTATTAATTTGTCAGAACAATTACATTCTATAGCTCCGTCGCCTCCAGAACATCAGACCTAGTCATGTTATTATATTAATAAATAAAACAATTATTCGTTAATAGCTGGATTTTTTTTTTTTTAATCCCTTAAAGTTCATTTTTTTTTTCATAATTAATAGATTTTTACTAAAAGAAATTTATACTGCTATATTTTTACATTAGTGGACTGTGCTGTGTTTTTTAGTCCAAAATTAATGTAAAATTGCCTCTTTCAGAATTGAATATCTTGTTCATAAAAACTATTAAATGAGCTTGTAAATGTATCTACCCCATCCTCACGTGATAACCTCCTTGCTGAATTTTTTATATAACATACTTTTATTTTTCACAATTTAGATGAAAACTTCTGATACCTGTGTGGTTTAAAAAAATAAAAATCCATTTATTTCTAACTATATTTAAGTCTCACTCCTTTCAGATAAAAGATTTTCAGTGAATTAGTGAAAGAAAGAAATTATTACAAAATAGTCTTTTAAGAGGTTATATTAGGAGTTGTCAAACTTTATGTATTTATAAATATTTACTTTTTGAAAATTATAATACGATAAATTTAGCTTCTTTGTATTAAAGTTCTCATTTTTAAATAATTAAGCTTAAAATGAGAAATGTCTATTCTATAAGAATTGTTTTCATTTTAACAACTGTTGGACCGCATTTACTGGATCTAGTTTCAATCAGCAATGGAGATTCTAAAAATCTATTATATTTTTTTTAATAGTATTGAGGTAGCTCAGTGCTAGGGCACTGACTATCAATGTTCATAGCCCTGGAGCCAGGGCCCAAAAATTGACCTGATCACAGGCGAAGGTTTGATTGTAAATTACGAAAGTGTATATTATTCTGAGTAAAAAAAACCTTGTCTGCCGTTTCGGAGCCGCTGCTTTCAAAAAGAGCAGCTGATTTAAAGAATATTAGGCCAATAATTTGAGGATCGAAACAGGAAATCCATTGCGAAAAATCTGAGAAAAGTTTCTATTTTTTTAACTTGTATATATGGGTTTAGATATGCAAAAAACAAAATTGCTAACGGAGGCCACTAAGGGAAAACTTTTTACAGCCGAAAAAGTCAGATTTTTTCGATATTTTTTGGGTTTTTCCTCTATAACTCCTAAACAATGCATCAAAGCGAAAAATGTGTTCTTTAATAAATTAAAGAATGTTAAATTTTGCGTCAAACGAGTACATAAACTTTAAAATTTAAAAGGTATAAAACCACGGTCAACCAACTCTTAGTTTTACCAAATTTGCCAAAAACTGGGAAAAGTTACTATAATTGGACCTGTTACTTGGAAATAAGTTCGCTAAGAGGAAAAACCCAGAGAAACAAAGTTGTAGAGCATCAAATTTCGCGTATACTCAGTATCAACTAATTTAATGTAGGTCACTTGCTGTGAACAAAATCGGTAATCACCCGATGGCTAGATATTGGTAATGAAGGTAAACGTGATTTTCAATATTTCAATAGTATGGGTGTCTATTCTACTGAGTTAGTTTTGTTTAAAGTCTGTTACATGCAGTATAAGCCTCTTTTCCACCTCTCAACAGCAAAAGATTTTGGTAAACGATGTGGGGAAAGATACCAATTTTATAAAGGAATAACGAATTCCGATTCGAGATAAATAATTGGCCAACAATAAAAATGTCAGTACCCAGTAAAAGTGAAATTTGATACTCTATAACTTTGGTTCTATGTGTTTTTCCCCTTAGGGAACTCATTTCCAAATTACAGGGCCATCTATAGTAATTTATCTCAGTTTTTGGCAAATTTGGTAAAACTCAACGTTTGTTGACCGTGGTTTTATACCTTACCACAAAACCAAATTTTAAAGTTTATATACTCATTTGACGCAAAATTTAACGTTCTTAAATTTATTAAGGAACACATTTTTCGCTTTGATGCATTGTTTAGTAGTTATAGATGAAAAACCCAAAAAATATCGAAAAAATCTGACTTTTTTGGCTGTAAAAAGTTTTCCCTTGGTGACCTGCGTTAGCAATTTTGTTTTTTACATATCTAAACCCATATATAAAAGTTAAAAAAATAGAAACTTTCCCCAGATTTTTCGCAATGGATTTCCCGTTTCGATCCTCAAATTATTGGCCTAATATTCTTTTAATCAGCCGCCATTTTTGAAAGCAGCGGCTCTGGAACGATAGACAAGGTTTTTTTTACTCAGAATAACATACAATTTACAATCAAACCTTCGCCTGCAATCAGATCGATTTTTGGGCCCTGGCTCCAGGGCTATCAAGATCAGAGGTTCGAGTCCTGCTGATGGCAGATAAATTATTTATTCCATTTCCTCGGCCGTGGATTGGCCCTGGGATCTAAAGACCCTCCTGGGGCACACCCAGGCTCTGTAAATAATTAATTCAGAGGAAAACCTGGCGGTTAAGCGTGGTCTATGTCAAATCACCTTGCACAACCGTTTACCAAGAAATAGTACTTCCTTAGAAAGTATTGAACCCAGAACCCTTCATGGGTTGGAGTGGTGCAGGCTTTATAATTCATCATGCTAAATTTCTCTTGCAAAACCAATAGTGTTATTATTAGTCGATTACTAGTATGATAACTGTTTTTAGTAACATTCATGCAGGTTCTATGGGCAGAAAGAGTTAAAAGAAGATTATTTCAGTCAATACTTTAGTTAAATCAAATTAAAAGTTATTACTGATTTATTTTTCTAGGTAGTATATTTAGTCAGCTCTTTCAAAGAGGAGATAAAACTTAAAAGTTATAATATCAATGATAAAACTAGTAAATCAGAAATATGGCATAGATGTGCCAATAGTTTTATACGTTCTTATCAAAGACATGTCAGTGTATCGCAGCATTTAGATATGTTTATACTGTAAAAAGGTTATAAACAAGAAAAGATCAGTTGCCCATTTTGCACTTATTGAACAAGATCAAAATAACGTGTAGTTGAATCTTGAATTGCACTAACTACACCAGTCTATATTTATGGAGTTGCACATGTGGTGTTTCTTACACAATTCAGTTGTAAGGGTCTTATCTGGAATAAAATCACAAAAAACTGATTATGAATAAATATGATTTTTCATTTATGAAAATTATTATTATTTATCTATTTACAATAATAATAAGGGATAAATGTTACAGTGTAAATAGGAGAGGAATTATATTAGTATTGAAAGCATAGAAAATTCAGAATATTTTTTCAACTAAATTAAATGTAAATAGTCATTAATGAACTGTTTAGGTACCTAACGATGAGTATTGGTAATGTAAAACGGGATTTTTTGAAATTACAACAGGAATTTTAATAAGGATAATTATATTTGCACAGTGGCTTTAAGTTTGCTAAATATATTAAAACAATAATTAGAATAAATAAATTAAACTATGAACTGTTTAGGTACCTAAATGATGAGTGTTGGTAGTGTTAAATTGGATTTTTTTGGAATGACAACAGTAATTTTAATGATGATAATTCGATTTGGAAAGTAGCTTTATTTTAGATAGAGACCTTTATCTGTTTAGATAGAGAAAGAACGGTTTGATTTTTGTTCTTAACTGCATAATTTAAATCCACTACCATCCAATTAATACAAGAATACACTTCAAAATCACTTTAATAGAACATTAAGTTTTACTGACTGCCACTAGAGGTCAGCAGCTCTCAAGATAACCAATTATTAGTTTTAATAAATGCGAGAAGAGGCCAGCACCTTGTTATAAATTTAATTTACATACTTTAAACCACTCAATGATTAGTTTCAATAACAGTCACCAGAGGCCAGTACCTCTCGGAAAAGTAAAAATAATAACTTTAATTATGTTATATTTGTTTAAATTAGTGCCACTAGATAACAGCACTACCAAAGCATAGAAAACTGAGCTTCTTTTCAACACCTACTCACCTAAAATAAAATAAAGATTTTTAACCCGTTTAGCTATTCACACAATGGCAGGAATTTCTTTTAATTAATTGATTTATGAGGAGAGCAGGATTTTTTTAATTTATAAAATTCATAATTTTTTCAATCAGTAATTGCAGTTTTGTAAGAATTAGTATCTACCTTTTTAAAAAAAAAACAATTATTTAAATAAAATATTTTTTGTTTCTTTTTTAATAAGATGCAAACAAATTTACTAATTTTATTTCTTTATAAAAAAATTAAAATTAAAATTTAAAAAAATGAGTAACTATAATATTATTAGATATGTCAACGGTACGATTTCGACGTTAATTTAAAAATGAAAACTGCCAATTAAATTAATTAGTTTTATAAAAACTTAATATTAGGATTAGAAATATTTAATTGATCACTTGATACAAGAAGGATCATTACCCATGACAAAGGTCTGTTTAAAAAACACGCATTTGTGCATTATCACTTTAGATGATAAGTGAAAAAAAGTATTTTTTAATAAATAAAAAGTGTATTTTCGTAATTAATTTATCGCAACACATCTCAGGTTACAGATAAAGCATAAATTAGAACTTTGTAATAATCTATTGTGATTATTTTTGCTAAAAACGCAGGTTCTGACCGAATGGCAAATTCATACATATTTTTGTTCAACTACAGTTGAGTGTCAACTCATTCAGTAAGAAAGACTTAACTTAATTCAGAGGTGCCCATCACTCTCCCAAGATCGATGGCGCAAGAACCTACCCTCTCCCCTCCTCCCACAGGCGGATCTACGGGGAGGCTTTCGGGGTAAAGCCCCCAAAATGGTAAAATACCTACCATGTTTTACAGAAAAAAATATTAAGAACAATCTCTTAAAGTATTTTTGTTCATACAATTAATTACATAATTAATAAATAATTAAATTTAATAGGACTTCAAGAACCACTTAAACACCATTTCATAAAGGTAGTTAAGTTATTCCTTTTTTTTTCAAATTAATTATAGTTTTATATAAATATATATATCCTTGCGGGCTAAGGCGCTTGCAATAGGTAATTAAGTTAAGCAACGCCGAGAGTGGTTAGCACTTGGATGGGTGACCATCCCTCAGGGAAAGCCACGCTGTCCGAGACCCCTTCCCCCCGGGTTTGTGAGACCCGTCAGCCTACATGAGGCAA